TGGTCAGTGGAAAGTGTTTGGATCCCTCAATTTTGCTGGGAATTTCAAAAATGTCACTCTCCTTTTCAATTTTATGAGTTTCCCTCAAAGTTTTTAGAACTGATGGGGGTACCTCAAAGAATGATAAGGATAGGTATTTGATCTTGAAACTCGGTTCATCCTCTTCTTTGACCAGCTGGAGCTCTGTGTCTTTTTCTTCTTCTACTTCTTCTGGATTCTGGATCTCCTTTTGCATTTCCTTTTCATTTGTCAATGTGATTGCAAAAGTTTGCTGTTTAGGATCACATTCTATTTGAGAAGGGAGTCTTTCCGAATCCCTTGCTTCAAGCCTACTCACGGCTCCGGCTATTTGACTCATTTGAGTTTCCAAGTTTAAAATGCTAGACTTGGTCTCATTTTGGAATTGCACCATGTTGTTTTGCATGGTGGTCATGTTGGTAGCAATAGCCTGGACCATATCCTCCGTAGACATGTTAGAGTTGGAGAACGGATCATACCTCATGTGAGGTACATCCCTTTCGTAATCTATTTGTTCAAGGTATTCATCTTGGAGCTTTGGGCAAAAATCCGTAAGATGCCTATGAGACATGCAAATGTTGCATGTCTTGACATCTTGAGCTTTTGAGCTTAAGGTAAATTCCTTTATTAGAGAAGTCAAGAAGGAAATTTGACTCTCTAAGGATGAAGTGTTGGTATCCATATATTCATAACTCATGTAAGCTCAGAAAATAGAAGAGTAAGATTTTTTTTTTGTTTTTGATTTTTATGAGATAAAATAAAAAGAAAAATAATTGCCTTTCCCCGGCAACGGCGCCAAATTTGACGTGCACTTGTCGTGAGGTGCACTCAAAGTAATAATACAATACAACACAAATACGTAGTATAGTGAAGTAAGGTTCGTATCCACAAGGAAAGGAATACTTTTCTTCTTATAGAAATGGATAAGTAACAATAAGGGGGGGGGGGGGTTTATATCTGGTTGATGAACTTTAAGTTATATTTAAACACGAAGATGAACGAGTTATGTGGTTTAATTAATGAGAAGAGGACTTGGCTTTGCTTTTATCCACTTAATGAAATGTTCGTCGATCCCGGTTATATCTTTAACTATCTTCCTCTCGAATACTCAATCGAGGAGTATATCCAATTCATCGAGGGTAGTTATTAATAACGAGACGCGTTCATTAATAAAACTTACTGCCGAGTTAATATAGAACACGCGCCGTATATTTACTCGATAGTAGCAATAAAATCAAGATGAAAACGATTAAGATTGATAACCTCAACACAAGCGGTTTATTGGTTTAATCAAGATAATTAATTCCCCTTGGCTTATTAACCATGAGACGCATGCATTAACAACCCAAGTTTACTACCATGAAAGGACCGAGTTAATAACAAGCGTATTAATCGACCGATTCTAGTATTAATTAATATATGAAACAAAACTAGTTGATCCTTTAAGTATTGCTCAAAATATTAATATGTAATAGGAATAGGAATTATTTAATATTCAAGGAACAAGATTAAAGAAAATAACTCACAACTTACAATTCATTAAGCTTCAAAGTAGCAAAACCAAGATGGAAGAGTTTAGCTCCTCATTTGGAGACTAAACATGATAAAAATATAAAGAAAGAACTTGTCTAAATTGAGCTTAGAAGTATATAGGAATTGGTGTTCTAAATGGGAGGAAATGGGGGTGTATTTATAGGTATTTTGAGGTGGCTGGGTCTGATACCCGACCGGGTGTGTAGAATACCCGATCGGGTATCCTTAATTGCTCGGAAGGTGCTGAAATCACATTCAACCCGACCGGGTTGGGTCAAAACCCGACCGGGTTACGTATCAAATCGGATATTTCCCACGTTCTCTTGATCTTGGACACATTCTTTTGTTCTTGTCAACTCAACCCGACCGGGTTTTATACCAACCCGACCGGGTTTTGGTGCGTAGCTTCCCTTTGGCTTCATATGTCACTTCCAACCCGACTGGGTTATATTTCAACCCGACCGGGTTTGCTACCAGAATTTATTTCCACCATTCATCTTGCCTTCCTTATAATACATACTTCCTTGCATCCCTTATGGTACTTACAACAAAATAAACACTAAAAATACAAATTAAAACCTACAAAATAAATCTATAGAGTACATCACAAACTAAACTAAACAATTAAAAATAACAATCAAACAATACTAAAATAACAAACTTATGCACTAGGAAATAGTGCATATCAAAAGATCAAGGAAAGTGCAAGGAGACAAGAAAGATTTCGATTTGGAAAAAATACTCATGTACCCGGTCGGGTATTGCCTATACCCGATCGGGTAATTGCTTGATTCGACTGTCCAAATCAAATCTGAAGACAAATGATCGTGGGAGCAAATTTTCATTAAGATTTGTCACATACCCGATCGGGTATATACCCTTACCCGATCGGGTATGCCCAGAAAAATCACTTTCTGGGCAATTTCCTGAGATACCCGGTCGGGTATACTATATACCCGGTCGGGTATCAGACCCTGCAGCTCCCAAAAGCCCATAAATACACCCCTTTCCTTCCCAATAAAATCACCAATTCACATATACTCTTTAGCTCAGTTTAGATTAGTGTTTTCTTTATATTTTCTATCATTTTAGTCTCCAAATGAGGAGCTAAACTCTTCCATCTTGGTTTTGCTACTTTGAAGCTTAATGAATTTGTAAGTTGTGAGTTATTCTCTTTAATCTTCTTCCTTGAATATTAATTCTTCCTTTAAATACTATTTCTATATCAATGTTGGGGAGTGTTACTAAGATGACAATTAGTTAACATCTTGACATTAGTTATAGTAATAGTTATTTCTTCCTCTATGTTAATATTGGGGAGTGTTACTAAGATGACAATTAGTTAACATCTTGATATTAACTATAGTAGGATTCATCTTCTTTAATATTCTTCCTTGAGTATTAATTAATTCCTATTCATATTTCATATTAATATTTTGAACATTACTTAAAGGATCAACTAGTTTTGTTTCATATATTAATTATTACTAGAATCGGTCGATTAATACGCTTGTTATTAATTCGGTCCTTTCGCGGTAGTAAACTTGGGTTATTAATGAATGCGTTTCATGGTTAATAAACCACTGGGAATTAATTATATTGATTAAACCAATAAACCGCTTGTGTTGAGGTTATCAATATCAATCGTTTTCATCTTGATTTTATTGCTACTATCGAGTGAATATACGGCGCGTATTCTATATTAACTCGGTAGTAAGTTTTATTAATGAACGCGTCTCGTTATTAATAACTACCCTCGATGAATTGGATATACTCCTCGATTGAGTATTCGAGAGGAAGATAGTTAAAGATATAACCGGGATCGACGAACATTTCATTAAGTGGATAAAAGCAAAGCCAAGTCTCCTTCTCATTAATTAAACCACATAACTCGTTCATCTTCGTATTTAATTAAATTAAATCACTCAAACCTAAACCCCCCCTTTTGTTACTAGTTAATTAAAAAGAGAAATATTCCTTTCCCTGTGGATACGAACCTTACTTCATTATACTACGTGTAATTGTTGTATTGTATTATTATTTTGAGTGCACACCGCGACAAAGTGCACGTCAGTTACTTTGTTTTAATAATAAAATACAAAGTATATTTTAAATATAGTTTTTCACTTTTTCATAGTACTAGTATGTAACTCGTGCGATGCACGGGAAAGTTTAGTCTCATATTAATTTAAGATATATTATGAATTAAATAAAAAACATATATAATTTGTATCATGAATAGAAATGTGAAACCACAAAGTTTACATTGGAAAAAGTAAAATTGAACGGTTTGAAAATCCTTGGGATGCCCCACATTTATTGTGGAATTACTTTGTGTGTATTCGTTGCGTATCAATATTTTCAATTTTGGTGCATGGTAACTCGTGAGACAACAATATACAATTGACCATGACTTTAAGTCGACTTAGGTAAGCGACTCAACCTGACTTTCATTGATTATCATTGCATATGAAGTACAATTGAGAATTGTCTTCATTCAAAGTTTCAATGTCTTTTTATTGAGGTGAATTTCTTAATTTAAGGACTATTTTCTTCTTCTTTAATTTAGCAATTATGCAAATTTAATTAATTTATTTATAATTGGATCTAACCTGATTAGGGAGCAAAAAATAGTGAAATGTTGGTTGTACGCGTCATTTTACACGCCGAGGACTTTGTTTGTGCACATACATTTTTTATTTTGAAAGGAGAATTATATGTCTCACACCGACACTTTTTTATTTGTGGCACAATTTTTTTTTTGTCAGTGTGACACAATTTTTGTTATAAAATGAAAAAACATTGTTCACTTACATGCAAAATACCCAGCGTGTACATGAAGCATAGTTGTACAAAATAACATAGGCAAAAAATGTGGACTGTGGAACTGTCCGTCTAACCCTATCTAGATTCGTGTACATATTAGCAGTTGCCATAGCTTTCTTACTCTCTCTTCCTCAATTCTCAAAATTTATGTGGCATGAATTCAGGGATGTCCTTAGGGCAAAAATAATTAAAAATTAGGTCCAGTTTAGTTGATAATAATTTTTAAGCGCATATTATACACTTTCTCGGGAAGACTTTCACATCTCATATGCAGATAGTATGTTTCACACTTTATATGATTCAGACAACTAACAACTAATGTATGTGTACAATGACATTGGTTTCTGTGCAACCAACCTTATAAATCGGCAACAAAAGTACACCAATCAGCAAATCAAATTTTGTTCACACCGGAAATTTGTCGAAAGTGTCTGTATTTGTACTTTTTGTCTATGCGAATGACAAATATAGAGGGTGTAACTCATGGTGTACACCAAGAATGATTGTTATATGTGATATCGGACTTTACATCTCATTTCTAAAAAAAAATAGAGTTTGCACCCAAGGTCCTAAGCACCCCAATTTTTATGAAGAAAAATTTCAGAATAGAGTGCAAAATCAAAGGCATTTTAAGGGAAATAGGATGCAATATCAAGATTTTAAAAATAGAGTGTAAAGTCCAATATCACCTAAAAAGTGGGGTGCAAAGTCAAAATCACCCTATAAAAATTGTTTTTTTTGTAGATACAATTGTGTGATCCCTTTACTAAAAATGAAAACAAATTGTCTATGCATAAAGAGCATTCTTCAAATAAAATAGACCACCTATGGATTATTTTATTTTTAAAGACTTTGATGGAGGGAAATATTGTGGGATGAACTCTTTACATAGTCGTTGGTCCCAAGTTCAGAAATGATATTGATAGAAAGAATATAACCACCTTTATGCTTCATCTCTAACCAAAAATGGAAATAGTTCGAGTCTAATAGCCTCATCGGAAACTTCATTCATCTTGATGGTATTGCAAGCTCTTAAGAATCTTGTGATGTGTCCTTATGCATCCTCATTAACTTCTCCTCCAAATTGGTCATACGACACTAAGCCTATAGTGGAGGTTTTGAGCTCAAAACTGTTGGCTTCAACTTGTGGATACTGGGTACTTTCATGAGCTTGGTTGTGAGGCTCTACATCATCCGCAATAGAATGTTCGGGTGCCCGCTCATAGTTTCCACCTCGATGTCCATAATTGAAAGCTTGGTTAAATGGATAATTAAATAGACCACCACCTTGGTAGAAAGGGGTTCCTTGATTAAATGGACCACTTTGAAAGTAGAGGTCACCACCTTGATTGAATTGGCCAACTCCTTGATTGAATTGGACACCACCTTGATTGAATTGGCCAACTACTTGATTAAATTGGACACGACCTTGATTAAGGGCTTGTTGGACATTCCCTGAGGATAGCTAGGTATAAGTTCCCTTGTCACTCTCACGATCAAGGGAGTACTAAGGGAGTACTAATAGCAATCTAAAGTCATGAAAAGAAGAGCAACCAACAATTTTCCCCTACCTTCTCCCACTCTCATGGAGAGGGGGTAGTGTGTGTGTGTGTGTATGTGTGTGTGTGTATCAAAAGGAACCCTACAAGTCTCCTTGAGTGATCAAATCAACATCTAAGAACATTGTGACCATCAAAGTTTTAGAAATTCAAAGAAGCATTTTCACAAACACATAGAATGCATAATATATTTCTGAAGTTCCTTCAAATCAAACCCCAAAACCTATAACCTCACATGATTGAATGATCCTTAAACATCCCCAATCCCTAATCCTATTACTCACTCATGCTAGATTTCATATCCATAAAGCATATGCAATACAAACTCATGAAATGAAACAAAAAGATAAGGGAAGAAGATTTAGGGAAATAATGTAATCTAAGATATTGTTTTGTGGATTATTCTTCTAAATCTATTATAGTATCTGCTCATGTTAATGACAACATCCTTGATTGAGATTAGACTTGAATCTGCGATCTCCTCTTTGGGAGATCGACAGTGATACCAGACCACAAGGTAATCTAATATATTAAATGCAAGAAGAATAAGTATTTGATGTAAATAAAGATTAGGAATTCAATACATAAGAGTTCAAGAAAGTTTAAGTCAAAACTAGGGTTTGCAAGAAGAAATATCGTGCAAAAACTACTCCCTCCGTTTCAGTTTGGTTGACATAGTTTGATTTGTCAACATTTAAGGAAAACATTTACTAAGGGGTAAATTTTACTGTATGGGCACTGTTTGGACACTATTTGAACACTGTTTGGACACTGTTTGACACTGTTTGAACACTGTTTGACACTGTTTGACACTGTTTTGTTTACCAAATGGGAAGTGTGGCATTCATTTTGAAACGTCCAAAAAAGGAAAGTGTGTCAACCAAACTGAAACGGAGGGAGTATGAAATTCGGATGAAAAGAGGGTATTTATTATACAAGGGGAAAACGAGGAAACGCTGGGAAGGATCATCTTCCCTTTTGGAGGAACATAAAGAGGAACGCTGCCAGGAGTGTCGTTCCTCCCATCTCGTTTACTCTTAACTCACCCCTTACTATCATCACAAATCCCGAATTCTAGTTCACCGGAAGCCAACAAGGAGTAAATTATTGCTTCAATTGCCAACCCATTTGTAATGATGAGTTTCTCATTAGTGATTGCCCTAGTATGGAATAAGGATGTTTTCTTTTGGACTGAAATTTGCTGGTCTGGTCTGATCTGGTCTGTTTAAGTCTGGTCTGGTCTGGTCTGGTCTGGTCTGTTTAAGTCTGGTCTGGTCTGGTCTGGTCTGAACTGGTCTGGTCTGGTCTAGTAAACGTCTGGTCTCTGTGTATTTTATAACTACGGAAGTCTGGTCTGGTCTGGTCTGTTTAAGTCTGGTCTGGTCTGGTCTGATCTGTTTAAGTCTGGTCTGGTCTGGTCTGGGACTGAAAACAGTCCAAAAGAAAACATCCTAAGTATGAGGGGAAATACAAAGTGGTAAGATATTGAAACTTCAGTACATACCGCTCTTGTTATATATAAAATACCATGTTTACCGAAGAGTTTGATATACCGACACTTTTGAAACCATACAATAGTATACCTGTAACATCGGACCTGAATTTTTTTCTGTGAGAATTTTTTTTCAACAATTATTGATACAAAGAAGGTAAATCAAGACTAAGAGTAGTCTTGATAAATAAGAAAGTAAAATTTTGTCTTAAATTAATAAAGGGTTATTAATTTTGTCGTGGAACCTCTCGTGATATTCTAAGTTCATTTATAAAATATTAATGTTTACCAAAATGATACTATTATGATAGTAGGGATGGGTCATGGACCCAGTGATATAAAGAAACGACAACTAGACAGCCAAGCGGGCCGAGGTCTCTATTCGATAATTGTGAATCATTAATCATCAAACTGATAATTATTCGGAAGGCTATGAATTAATAACAGAAGGAATATAAATGTTTTAAAAACCCAAAATAATGGGATGATAATGTATGATTAAATTGACATATTAGAGGTGGGTACTTTTGGAGGACCCTACCTTGAAGATATTTTCATATAAGAATAAACAGATAAGATTTTATCTGCTTATACAGTTGGGACCTCTTAAAAACAAGTGTAACATTTTATTAAAGTGTCACAAAATATGAAAACACATATTTAATCATTAGGAATGATGAATGAATTTTTAAAACAACGTGTTGTCATTTTTACTGTTACTTGAACAGTAAAATGCACATTGGGCCCACACATGGGCAGGGACCATCCGATATTTACAGACCACATATTATATTCACCTTGGTCTAGATAATATTTACATGATGGTGTAAATTAATGTTGAGCCATAAAGTTGACATTTCGATCAAACGAGGTCCCATTACCGGTGTAGGTAATTAAACTGATAATAGCCCGAAATGAATTTCGGCGACCACTAAATTAAATTTGGGTAATATATATTCATTTTAGAGGCCAATATTAATGGGAAGAATGATATATATTTTATTTAACACGATAAAATAAAATATAATTGAAACAGTCCAGAAAATACAACTTTCGGGACCGATTGTACACTTTTGGACTTAAAGGGATGACCTCCCACATTAGTGGGGGCCACCCCACGAAATTATTCAGCAAAGTAGACAAAGGGACGGCTGTATAATGGTAGGAAAGAGATAGGAAGTTGGCTTGAAGTGATGAGCATCAATGAGAGACATATGTGGACCCTTTTCCTTAATATTATGGGTGGAATGAGCCAAAAGGACATCAATCTCTCTCCCCTCAATGACCCACTCGGCCAGCACCATCAAGAGAGTGAGAAGAACCTCTCTAAAAATACCTCCATAGCCATGAACCGAGCTCAAGGAGGAAGAAGGCTCAAGGAAGAAGAAAAGCTTGGAAAAAAAGAGAAAAACTTAGTAAAACCAAGGTAATGACTTCAATAGTATTTTTCTTCCTTCATTTAATCTCATATGATTTTATAAATCATATGATACACTTCTAGAGGTGTTGAATGAGGGTTTGGAAGGTTAAGTTTAACCATGAACGGAGTTATGGCCGGAGTAAGACCGGTTCACCGGAAAACACCTTCTTGGAAGGTTTTGACATTTATACCACTTTTGGTTGTGAAAACTTGTTAGGAATTTTACCAAGGTATTCTAGACTTCTCGAGGAATCTAGGAGTGGCCGGAAATTCGCTGGAGCCGCCGGAGTTTCGCCGGAAAATTCCAAAAGTTACCGGAGTTCAAACAAAGAGGATAAAAGCTTGCTAGCGTCATTTCAAGGTGAGTGGACGACTACGTGTCTTGTAACTCTTGAGTCAAACGTGGGATTACCTAAATAAAATCATAATCATTATTTGAGAAATGATTAAATGGATTAAAATGCATGATTAGTCATAGTGAATATGAATTATGAAAATATTATATGGTTAATGAATAAAAGATTTATTTGTGGATTAACCATGAATATGTTATTGTCAAATGTATAACAATGCATACATGAACTATGTATGAGACAACTAGAGTAATCTAGTGTATGAATATGTAAAGAAATGTATAAAAGTGTTTAAACATGTGATTAACTATATTGATGATAAGTTATGCGAAAATGACATGATTAATGAGTAATTGAATCATTAATACTTTTGATGAAGGATAATCATGAATGATTAATTTGGAAATTAACCAAGGAAATTCAAGATGGTATTCTTGAAGGATTCAAGTTTTTAATCATGCAAGCCATTAAAGTGAATTTAGTTTATGAGAAATAAACTAAGGTAAAAAATACAAGGTATGATTAATTAATATAAATGATTTTGTTGGCTCATTTGAGAAATGACCAAAGTAACTCAAGTAATATTCTTGTAACTATTTTAGAAATGCTTAAGAGTGCATGTTACTAAAATGATCTAGTTGTGAGGGATAAACTAGAATAAAATGTATAAATGATTAATAAGTATGAAATACTTATTAATAGTTGTGAGACTATAATATTCTAATTGAATGATGAATCACGAATGGCTCATCTCATGAGGTGATTAAAGGAAATGCAAGGTGGTATCCTTGTGAAGAATTAAAGGTGCTTAAGCATGCAAGTTATGAAAGCAAACTAGTTTATGAGATAAAAGTATTATACATGAAAATGATTGGAAATATTTATATAAAATATAAGATATGTTCGAATGGCCAAAATAGCATTTATTGATTGTATTGGACATAATACATATTGTGTAAAAATTTCGGGCCAAACGGAGCACGTTTCGGGGGTCAACTCAGAGGTCAACGGGCCGTTGACCCAAAACTTCGAACATACTGGGCGCCGGGTATAGGGCATACCCGGGGCCGGGTAAGCTGCTGCCTCCAATTTTCGTTTTCGCCGAAAACGCGAATCGGAGCCTGGTTCGACGTGGGATTAATTCTAGCCATCCTATATATGAATATTTTGCATGGAATTGCATGAACTATGATGTTTAAAATGCTAAGGCTTGTAATACGGATTAAACGCTAAGACTTGGACTAGTCGTTAGTGAATAAATTATAGACCACGACTGGGCGAGGTACGTGGTAGATTATACATGGCGGGTGAATACCCGGGACCAAGTAAGGTTATATAATACTCTGTAGGACCAGGAGGAGTCCTCTACACGCAAACTTTAACAAGGGTAAATGCAGTCCTTGAGGTGTGTTTAACCTCCATCAAATTGCATATAGGTAACAAGGGCAAATGCAGTCCTTGAGGTGTGTTTAACCTCCATCAAATTGCATATAGGTAACAAGGGCAAATGCAGTCCTTGAGGTGTGTTTAACCTCCATCAAAGTGCATATAGGTAACAAGGGCAAATGCAGTCCTTGAGGTGTGTTTAACCTCCATCAAATTGCATATAGGTAACAAGGGCAAATGCAGTCCTTGAGTTGTGTTTAACCTCCATCAAATTGCATATAGGTAACAAGGGCAAATGCAGTCCTTGAGGTGCGTTAACCTCCATCAAAGTGCATATAGGTAACAAGGGCCCGTGTAGTCTTTGAGGTGTGTTTAACCTCCATCAAATTACACATAGGTAACAAGGGCCCGTGTAGTCCTTGAGGTGTGTTAACCTCCAGTAAATTACACATAGGATGAGGGTGTATGCGTACTCCTCAAGGCGGGGTTATCCCGGAAATGAAAACTATGATAGCAAGGACGAATAGTCCTCGAGGTAGGTGAACCTCGAAGTAATGATTTTAAATGATTAAACGTGCTTGATCGGGAACGAGTTTCCGATAGGATATTTTCCTTGGTCTAGGAATTGATTTAAACCACATCCGTGATATGGGAGTCTGAATGGCCCCACAGTAATTATATATTGATATCGAGTGAGTTAGCCTGCGGGTGACTCCACTCGAGGGTAAGATACGGGAAGGGTGAATTTAATGAGGCTGTCACGCCTAAATGATTTGAAGAACAAATGGGCCTACGGGCCAGATATTTTACTCATATGTATATATGTATACGTTTTGTTTTGAAAAGGGGTAGCTAAGAGTTATGCCCATAATTATACTATCACCCTATTTTGAGGGTCTCACATGAGAAACGTTAGTTACATTACATACAGTTTGCCCTCACCAGTACTTTTCTGTAGTACCGATCCCTCGGGGGAACCACCCTTTCAGGTTGAAGCTAGAGCTTACCTCCTGCACCCGTTGCTCGAGAGATCGATGGAGAGAAGACGTGGTTCGTGCTTCCTCTCGTTCTATTTTTAAATAATTAAAAAAATGCTCATGGAACTATTTTGACTTATAAATTAATGAAGCCTGCGAGCTCTTGTTTTACCCTTGTGTGGGTTCTTATTAAACACTTATATTCCGCTATGTGTTTAATTGTATGTTGATGTTGTTATGTATGTTTACTAATCGGTTTTGGCATATGTATCTATCGGACGTCTTGTGCAATTCAGTAAGGATGAACTGCGGTTATTCTTATTGGGTTGTACGACGGTTGTCCACGTGGCACAGACGCGGTCTGGGGCGTGACAATACCGATTTAGAAGCTGTTCTCTTCGCCTGATCTGAATGTTTCTGATCTGAATTTTTTAAGTTCTGATCTGATCTGATTTTTAACGACAAGATCAAGCGAGTTGTTGCTGCGGAAGCGAATAAGGACTTTGTGGATATACTTTTCAGTTTTCTCACCCTTCCAATGGGAACCATTATCAGGCTCACCAGCAGCTCTGCTCAGCTAGCAGAAACACCTATAAGCATTGGATGCATGAACAAGATATACCAAAGTTTTCAAAATCTAGATAGTGAGTATTGGCAGACAGAACACTGTAAGAGCATGCTTCTGAATCCAAGAAATATCTTTGTCAGCTACTGCAAGAAGTTGAAGATTAATATTGATGATTCAGGGTCTGAAATCACATAGGGCTGTTCCAGGGAGGGTTGCTCACATTATAGCATGTACCAAAATGTTAGTTGCCGTTGTGAAGAGGGGAGGACCACCAAAGAAAGGGAGTCGGTCGAAAAGAATGTCTCAAGTCAAGAGGGGGTCTTTTTGAAGGGAGGAATAGTGTTCATAATCAGTGATGATTTACAGGTTAGGCCTGCCACTCCATCTGTTCTTGCTCAACTTATGCCTGACATCAGTTCAAGAGAAGGGAGTAAAATCAGAGAGATGCATGTAAAAGTTTCCATGGCTGAGGTAACACACTGCTAATCTATATAGGTATTTAGTGATCTAATATTTTGTGTATTCTTATTCGATTAATGGGATTTGGCCGGCGTAAAAACCCTAAGAGAGTCAGGTACATTTTCAAGGCACTCATTTCATTAGTTTAATATAAATGACTGAACAGTCATTATACAGTTACCATACACTATAAATTTCTAGAACTCCTCGGGCGTATTGTTGTTAGGATAGAGTAATTTCACATTTATCATGACAAGGTAAGTTTTGTTCTTTCTCTTTGCTATTAAAAGATAACAGTTACAATGTAATCCTATTTTTGGAAAACCCAAACATATTGTTCCTCTTTAAGTCAATTTCCTATCAAAAGAGTGAATTGTGTCACATAAGTTATGAAAGATGATGATAAAACTTCTAGTTACCCATTTGCATCAGTATATGCACTATGGCCCGTGGCCATTCATCCGCGTGCAGTGCGCGGTATGTAGCCAAAATTTTCAAATCTGACTAGAGAAAGACTACATAACGAAAGTGTTTGGCCGAAGTGTTTTATGGATTATGGCAGTGTTGAGTGACTCGAATCAAGACCTCAATTTTATCACTTTGCAGGTTATCTGCTTGTTTGCACGCTCACTGATCTCTCAGTCTCCTTTAAGTGACGTTTTTCTCTCTAAACTTTCTGGATATGGAATGGTGGGAATCCAGAGGAAACCGTCAAAACTTGGGACTTCTTTTTCATCCCCAACTGCCGCCGCAGTAGACACGGCTAAGGAGAAAGTTCCTACTCTGGATCTTAAAGTGACGTGTATTAAGTCGACAAACAAGATATTGTTTGGTGAAGCAACAGATGAGTTCTTTGATTTCCTTTGCAGCTTCCTGACAACTCCTGTTGGAGCAATGATACGGGTTTTGGAAAGGCAGTCGGGGTTGAAATGCTTGGATAACCTGTACACAAGTGTGCTGGAGTTGGAGCAGAAATGGTTTCATTCGTCCGACAAGTGTGGATTACTCAACCCACATATTGCGGAACATCATGAGTGCAAGAAGCAGCCGCTCAGATTTGCTTTTGGCAGAAGATCTTATTATGGGCCTAATAACCCTAAGGGCGGGTTTTCTTCTAATTTTGCTGTGGAACCATCTGTGTTCTTGGTTTCGGATGATTTTGAAGTGAAGCCACTTTCTGTTGCCTCCTGTTTCCTCTTACTAAATGAATTACAAATTCCTTTTGATCAGACTGAAGAGAAACGGGTTACTGTGGGTATGAAAGAGGTATTAGTTAACACTGCTCAATCCTCATCAAACATTTCTACTAAAATACTTCCATGCGTATCAGTTTGATTTTTTAACTGTGCTTATTGCTAACAGGCGATGAGCTTACTGAAGGCTGCTCTCACATCACCATCATCTGCTCTTACAAATGGCTTGGGCCCCTTCTTGCTGAAGCGCGAACCCTAGCCCCACCATTTATAAATGCCTCTATGAAAATCTGAGGGAGAGCTTCAAGCGTTGAAAGTTCAGTTATATTTATCCAGTATCCTCATGATCCCAAGAATGTTTTTTTGCTCTCGGTATCCTTTTTGTACTTTGAACTCAACTATGGTGTACGGAGTATTATTCTCTAATTAAAACTCCTCTTTGTTTCTTAAGGTCTATCTTCCCTTATTCTTATATAGATAGTCAAATACCAAAACGACCAATGTCATCTGTCACTCTATGAGAAATTATGCCTATACCATAAAGGTAGACTCTATGGTACTATTAAGGTACTATACCTTTGTCTACATGGACCAATTAGAATGATGCAGTTGCATTATTTAAATCTAAATTAAAAATGATATAATGATTTGAACAAATAACTGAATGGTAGGTACGGTACCCTATGGTAAATGCATCTTTAACTTTTCTATTTAGGAAAAGGTGTGAGCTCACTAGAATTGAGCAGTAAAGGTCAATGTAAGACGGGCTATGAGTTGTTCCAGAATTGGTCCTGGATTGTAGCTGCCTGAAATAAAATCAGAACTAGATAACTCAGTTATGGTTTCAGTTAGGCATAGATTGGGCTGGGTCCGGGCCGCGACTGGGTGGGCTCCGGGACCTAAATAATCAAGCCCGGTATCGGCCCGGCTATATAATGGTACTGGGTCGGCCCGACTCGTCCCAGCCCAAGGGCCCCAAACCCATTTTTTATCTATTTGGGCCCGGGCCTGGCCCAGCCCGACCGGTCCGGTCCAATAAATTCCAATCTTGTAGCCCACCTATTTATTCCTATGGGTCGGGTTTGGGCCTAGTCCCGGGTCTCTCTCAAGTCTCAACCAGTCTGGGCTGGGACTACACAATACCAGGCCGGGTTGGGTCCGGGTCAGGCCGACCCATCCCAGTCTATTCCTAGTTTCAGCCCTCACCTAAAACCAACATGTCCAGCATCGGTGGCCTAGGTCCACCCCGTATGTAAAATTGCATAGCCTAGGCCCACCCCATATTCGTGAATCTTGACTACGAATCTACGATTGTTCTGTGGATCTCGATCTTCTAATAAATTTTGAGGGAAGGAATTCAATATGTTATTTGATTCAAATATATGTGCAAGCTATGCATGGTGTGAGTAATTATATACACAAGAATAATATTGAATTATTTCCCTTAAATTTTATTTTCGTACTTTATATTGTCTCGCACTAAGCTTATTTTGAAAATGTATACCAATATGGGACCGAAGTAAGGTGCTGTTCTGTTCGTCTTATTCTTATTACTTATTGCTTATTCTTATTTTATTCAGATCAGATCAGATCAGAAAAATTCAGATCAGAACAGATCAGATCAGAAAAATTCAGATCAGATCAGATCAGAAAGATTCAGATCAGATCAGATCAGACAGATTCAGATCAGATCAGATCAGACCAGATCAGAAACATTCAGATAAGAAACATTCAGATCAGATCAGAAAAGTTCAAACATGATTTATCACTTTTATTATTATATTAATTATTATTATTATTATTAATATTGTTATTACTATTATGATTATTATTATATAATTATTATTAATAATATTAATAATAATATGATGAAAACAATAAGATATTAATAATAGTTATAATATTTTGATATAATAATAGTAATATAAATGCAATTATTAAGAAGTCTATTATTATTATTATTACAAAATTATAATAATAATAATATGATTAATATTATTATAATATTATATTATAATTATATGTAATTATAATTATAATTACAATTATAATTCTTATAATTATAAGTATAATCAATTGTAATTATTATAATTATATCTATAATTAATTATAATTATAATAATTATAATTAAAATTACAATTACAATCATAATTATAATTATGATTATAATTATAATTATAATTATAATTATAATATTATAATAATATAATACTCATTATAATAATAATCATATTATTATTATTATATTATTGTAATAATAATAATAATATTAATATAATAATATCGTTATAATAATATTAATTGTATTTATATTACTATTATTATATTATAATATTATAATTAATGTTAATATAATTATATTTATTATTAATTATAATTATAATAATTATAATTATACTTATAATTATATTATAATTATTATTTATGATTATAATTATTATTTTTATTATAATTATTAATATTATTATTATTATTATTATTACTATTGTAATTATTTTACGGAGTAATTATAATAATATTGATAACTATAGTTACAATTATAGAGATAAATTTTGTAATTATAATTACAATTATAATCATAGAAATATTCAAATCAGATCAGATCAGAAAGATTCAGATCAGATCAGAAGGATTCAGATCAGATCAGAAACATTCAGATCAGATCAGACCAGATCAGAAACATTCAGACCAGATCAGAAAGATTCAAATCAGATCAGATCAGAAAGATTCAGATCAGATCAGATCAGAAAGATTCAGATCAGATCAGATCAGAAAAATTCAGATCAGATCAGATCAGAACTTAAAAAATTCAGATCAGAAACATTCAGATCAGGCGAAGAGAACAGCTTCTAAATCGGTATTGTCACGCCCCAGACCGCGTCTGTGCCACGTGGACAACCGTCGTACAACCCAATAAGAATAACCGCAGTTCATCCTTACCGAATTGCACAAGACGTCCGATAGATACATATGCCAAAACCGATTAGTAAACATACATAACAACATCAACATACAATTAAACACATAGCGGAATATAAGTGTTTAATAAGAACCCACACAAGGGTAAAACAAGAGCTCGCAGGCTTCATTAATTTATAAGTCAAAATAGTTCCATGAGCATTTTTTAATTATTTAAAAATAGAACGAGAGGAAGCACGAACCACGTCTTCTCTCCATCGATCTCTCGAGCAACGGGTGAAGGAGGTAAGCTCTAAAGTTCTAAAAGGCGCTAGGCGCTAATCGGGCGCCAACCCAGCGCCTAGCGCCTAGGCGGCTAGGCGGGCATCTAGTCGGGGACTAGTCGGAACTTAGAAATTGCATTTTTATCTATATTTTTGCATAAATATGCTAAGTAATATTGTATTCTTGGGTGAATAAAATACATATATACACATACATTATCAATCATGAATGATAGAATTATCACATTTAACTTCATTATGTTATAAATATAAATAATAATAAAATATAGGTATATATACAAACATATATAGTCTTTATCTTAATTTGCAACTTCATTTCTCTATATCTATGACTAAAGTTAAAGTACTTATATCTCTTAGAAAATTAAGATTAAAAACTAAAGTAATGTTTGACGAATCTAGATGGCCTAGGCGGCTGATTAGGCGCTCTTGGCGGGCAACTAGGCGCCATAGGCAGCCGACTAATTCACCTAGACGGTAAACCAATTAGTCGGAGCGCCTAGACGAAAATCGGGGCGCCCGACCACTGCCTAGCGCCTAGGCGGGGACTAGTCGGACGCCTAGAACGATTTTTAGAACAGAGGTAAGCTCTAGCTTCAACCTGAAAGGGTGGTTCCCCCGAGGGATCGGTACTACAGAAAAGTACTGGTGAGGGCAAACTGTATGTAATGTAACTAACGTTTCTCATGTGAGACCCTCAAAATAGGGTGATAGTATAATTATGGGCATAACTCTTAGCTACCCCTTTTCAAAACAAAACGTATACATATATACATATGAGTAAAATATCTGGCCCGTAGGCCCATTTGTTCTTCAAATCATTTAGGCGTGACAGCCTCATTAAATTCACCCTTCCCGTATCTTACCCTCGAGTGGAGTCACCCGCAGGCTAACTCACTCGATATCAATATATAATTACTGTGGGGCCATTCAGACTCCCATATCACGGATGTGGTTTAAATCAATTCCTAGACCAAGGAAAATATCCTATCGGAAACTCGTTCCCGATCAAGCACGTTTAATCATTTAAAATCATTACTTCGAGGTTCACCTACCTCGAGGACTATTCGTCCTTGCTATCATAGTTTTCATTTCCGCGATAACCCCGCCTTGAGGAGTACGCATACACCCTCATCCTATGTGTAATTTACTGGAGGTTAACACACCTCAAGGACTACACGGGCCCTTGTTACCTATGTGTAATTTGATGGAGGTTAAACACACCTCAAAGACTACACGGGCCCTTGTTACCTATATGCACTTTGATGGAGGTTAACGCACCTCAAGGACTGCATTTGCCCTTGTTACCTATATGCAATTTGATGGAGGTTAAACACAACTCAAGGACTGCATTTGCCCTTGTTACCTATATGCAATTTGATGGAGGTTAAACACACCTCAAGGACTGCATTTGCCCTTGTTACCTATATGCACTTTGATGGAGGTTAAACACACCTCAAGGACTGCATTTGCCCTTGTTACCTATATGCAATTTGATGGAGGTTAAACACACCTCAAGGACTGCATTTGCCCTTGTTACCTATATGCAATTTGATGGAGGTTAAACACACCTCAAGGACTGCATTTACCCTTGTTAAAGTTTGCGTGTAGAGGACTCCTCCTGGTCCTACAGAGTATTATATAACCTTACTTGGTCCCGGGTATTCACCCGCCATGTATAATCTACCACGTACCTCGCCCAGTCGTGGTCTATAATTTATTCACTAACGACTAGTCCAAGTCTTAGCGTTTAATCCGTATTACAAGCCTTAGCATTTTAAACATCATAGTTCATGCAATTCCATGCAAAATATTCATATATAGGATGGCTAGAATTAATCCCACGTCGAACCAGGCTCCGATTCGCGTTTTCGGCGAAAACGAAAATTGGAGGCAGCAGCTTACCCGGCCCCGGGTATGCCCTATACCCGGCGCCCAGTATGTTCGAAGTTTTGGGTCAACGGCCCGTTGACCTCTGAGTTGACCCCCGAAACGTGCTCCGTTTGGCCCGAAATTTTTACACAATATGTATTATGTCCAATACAATCAATAAATGCTATTTTGGCCATTCGAACATATCTTATATTTTATATAAATATTTCCAATCATTTTTTTTTTTTTTTTTTTTTTGTTAAGAAGTTAAAGTTTATTGGTCGATGCAATTAGGCAAAAAGACCTCCATCCAGCTCCAGTAACATAATAATACAATGAATCTGTTAACAGAGAACAGATTGATTGCCCTCAGG